CCAGTATATCATAAAAGAATTAAAACAATTCATGATACAATTCACAGCAACTGAACTCATACCTATTTTATTAGTTTCACACAAAAACATCATTTTGTACATTCCACCTGCTCCTTTTCCTATGAGAAAGAGACTTTGTTTGTTTGTTTGTTTTGCTTTTTGAGACACGATTTCTTGTGTAGCCCTGCCTGTCCTGAAACTTGTTCTACAGTCCAGTATGGCCTCAGAATTAGAGATCCTACCTCTGCATCGCATGTGCTAGGATTAAAAACTAGCACTACCATCACCTATTAGAAAAAAAAAAAGGACTTTTACACAATTTTCTATGTGTAGGCTTGTGTATTTCCCACCATGTCAAGATTTATAAGACCCTTTCCTCTCCAAGTTGCTTTGGTCATGGTGTTTCATCACAGCAACCGTACCCCTAACACATGGTGGGAGGGGGCATAATATACAACCTGAAAACTAATATTAGTAATTACAATTACTCTTTAAAAGATTTTATATTCAGAAGACAGGATAGGTACCTGTCTGCAAGCATAACAGAGTATCACTAATTGTGTCAGGGATTGGTGCTTGCCCATGGGATGGGTCTTTACTTGGGACAGTTATTTGACCTTTCCTTCAGTCTCTGCCTCATCTTTGTCCCTACATTTCTTTTAGACCGGACAAATTTTTGGTTAAAAGTTTGTAACATTCAGAATTTCACTGTGTGTTGAGTAATGAGATTAGCACATACTTTTGAGGACTTCATGCTTTACATGTTCACAGAGGAATTTGAGGCTGAAGTGTGTTCCCTAAATGATATGCTGATCCTATAAATTCCTGTTTCATGTCACTGTGACATCATATGGAAATAGGGTCTTTGTAAATGTAACTAAGCTGTAATTAGGGACTTTAGAATGGATCCTAATCCAACATAACCAGTATCAGTATAAAAAGCGAGAACACTGAATATAAATACATTCAGAACAACATATACACACAGATACAGAGAGAAGCAACGTAGGTGGACACAGAAATTAGAGTTGTGCTACACAGACATAGAAGGCCTGGAGCTCCCAGAAGCTGGAGGAGGCAAGGAAGATCCCACCCCTAAAAACATCAGAGGGAGCAGGGTCCTGATAACACCTTATTTGGGACTTGTAGATGCAGAATAAAACTCTTAATAATTTTTCTTGTTTGAAAACAGTCTGTGGTACTCATGTCAGCAACCTTGGTAGACTAATATTAGCTGTGAATTTAAGGCCTGTTCTTCCTCAGAGCTCCCTGGGCCTTCCTTTCTTCTAGAAGCATCCACTGTGAATTTAAGAAGTTTGTGTGCTTAGACCGCACTATCTCACCCAGTGAGTGCCTCACTTTCTATATATGTTTCCATAGTCAGAAACATTCCCTAAAGGCTGAGAGATTAAAGGCTTAGTCTGCCAGCCTATGATCTTATTGGGATGTGGTAGAATCTTTAAGAGGTAGGCCTTAAGGGACAAAATTAGGACATCAGTGTTTCTTGCCTCTCTTTTCTTCATGGAGACTATAAGGTGAATGGGCCTTCTTTACCACGTTCCTGTTGTGACAGACTAAAGCAAGAGTCAAGAGATCATGAACTGAAACTTCTGTAATTATGAGTTAAAATATACCTTTCCTCCTTTTAATTCATTACCCCAACTATTTTATCATAGTAATAGAAAGCTAACACACGTGTTATTTTGCTTATTCAACAGGGATGTCTTTTCCAAAAAATCATGTTATATTTCTATTCATTTCAATCACGAATTAAACAATCATGTTCAAGCCTTTTTAAGGCTAGATAACACTGTGATGCTAATGCTTCATTGTAGAGCACTTGTCTAGCATATTTAGAGCCTTAAGTTCAACCTGAAGCACAAACACAACAGAACACAACACAAACCAAAACCAAATAAGGAAGCAATAGATTAGATGTCTTCCCTGAGATCTCACTAGAAAGTAGTACTGCTATTCCAGAACTCTTAAATGAAGAGATGTTGTTGTCAACTCACCCTTCAATACAAGTAAAATTAATATAGGCTCCAAATTCAGTGCCTGTGTATACATGTACCAAGCCGTTCAGAGGATCTGGAAGAGTTCTACATCTTTTACCTATGAGAAAGAAGCAGAATTTTAGAATCAAGTATAGTAAACTGAACTTTCTGTAGTTTATGAATTTCTAACCTGATTAGAACTTACTGTAAAATATATATAACTATAATACTTCAAGGTTTTGCCACTTTGAGAAAATTCATCAGACACTAGTTTCCAAAAGAACTCTCATCCAAGTCATTTCTTATATTCACACAGTGACTCCCTAAACATGTATACTTCTTTTACTACAAAGCATTCTTCTATGTATTCCAACTCACAGGCCTCAAAGTCTGAAATGTTTTCACCTCTTTGTTATTAATACCCTTTGCTTCAGAATCATTATTTACTTAATGACACTTGTGCAAAGTTAGCCACCCTAAGTGAAATATCCTGAGGATATTTTCTCTTAATCATGCCCTGTGACAGTCATTCTTATGAAATTTATTAACATTTGAAAAGACAGAATCCCAGAGTAAAGAGATTTGACTGACAAGAAAGATACACATGTCCTATATACCTTAGATAAGATTATTAATGGTGTGTCATAATCTAAACTCCAGACAAACTGAGGCAGACTCTACTCTTTGTCAGAAAGGAGCTGCTTCTGCAGTTACTCACGTATACACTTATCTTCAGCACTTGTCCAGGTTGAGTCTTGTTGGCAGATGATTGAGAACCACCTCCCGACATATCCTGGGAGACATTGATACGGCAAAGCTGTTCCAATGGGAAACACGGATCCACGAATTTGCTTTAAAGGTTTGGCAAAAGATAACGGTGATGGGGCAGGGCACTGACCTGGAGAAGAAGACACATCAACACTGCATTGGATGGAAGGACTTGCCTCCTCCCTCACCACTTTCAGTTCTCCAGCTAGCTATTAGGGACCATGATCCTCCTCTCTGGCATTCAGGAATGGATCAGTACTATGGTCAAGGGGGAAAAAATAATAAAATTCAAAAAATGAAACTGCCTTTCATTTTGTTAATGTATTTTCCAATACATGTTTTGATGTATCTTCTAGACTCCGTTATTTTCCTTTAAGGCTTAGTAGCATTTACTTAATTGGCAGATAGAGTCAAATAATATGTAGCCAATAATTATCTGTTGGAAAAAAATCATCTCTATTTAATTTTGGAAATACTACATTTTTCGTTATGACTTCTTTTCCTCCTAATACTTTCACTTAATAGTCTTCTTACTCTACTAGATGCTAAAAGTGTCATATTTAAATATTCCACTTTATTATACAGTTGCCTATTTCTGTTCATTAAGCCTACTTTTTATTTTATATATATTCAATCAATAGAACAACCAAATTTAAGTTGTTATATTTCATAAAAGGTTAACCTTTATCATATTCCGAATTTTCACAGTAAAATGGGCACTCTATTTTGCTCTTAACCATTACTAAAATTTCATATGTAAATTGTACAGTCCTTTCAATTTGCAAATATTTCATTGCACCTAGAGGCTTCCAAGCTTTTTACATTTTATCCTGGAGTGGGAGCAGGAGGACCTTCCTTAAAGCTGGGACTCAAGGGACTTTTTGAAGATTTGGGGTGGGAAATAAAGTACATATTGCCAAGACAAAACAGTTGTCAAGTGAAACCTGTATCCCTGGGCCTGTTTGTCTGGGCCTTTGGAGCAAATACATAGGTTGTCTCCACGATAGAAATAAATTAAGGAGCAAGAACTGGATTAGACACTTGACAACACCATTTAAATAGCAAAACAACGAAAGACATCACTATCTCCATTTCACAGATAAGAAAACCCAAAAACATAGTAACTATCCTCACAAAACCAAATTCTAGGATTAGAAATTGCATCTCTCATATTTAAGCAACCCCCTGCTCCCACAAACCCTCAGGATAGATAGACAAGTACAATGTACATCTAATAAAGGCAAGCCGCTGTGAGACCAAGCATTCCTGCCTGCTGAGAACAACACAAGATGTAGGCTGAGCGCGCTCCAGGCTCACTCATGGGAAAAGGGCGCTGGGTACCCACAGGGACCCCAGACCAGCATTAGAGTCTGTGCTGAGCCTATTTACCGCGGGTCTCAGGTGAACCGTGCATCTGTGTCTCTCCGTGCCTCCCCTCAGCTCACCCAAAGTAAATGGCAGCAAGAACAGCAGCAGTACGGCCAGCAGGACTCCTCTGAGGCACAAAACTTCAAGGCGCCCCACCGGGTCCAGAGGCTCTGAACTCGGAGAAGTGGCCTCCATTGCCCTCCCCGGTCTCAAGCACAGTCTTATGGCACACCGGTGAAGAAAACAGCCGCACCCAGAGAGCGGGGAAATGGCGCTGGGTTCCGGAATAAAGCTTTCACTACAGCTTCCTCTGGTTGGGCTGGGCGGGGTCTTGTTTACTCCAGGCTTCAAGGATTTCCGTGGAATTTATCCCTCGGGAGATTGATTCAGCAAAGCAGACACCGGATCAATACCTGGGAAGTCAGCTCCAGGAAGTTCTCCCATTTGTAAGCACCTTAGACTCCAAAGAAAACAAGGCATTATGGGAACCCCGTTTGCATACAACCCTGCCTTGCTCCCCCCATTTTTTTTTTTTAAATCCGCAAGGGTGGAGCCTAACCTTAACCTGTCACCGTCTTTTAAACAGTGAGGGGACAGTTGCAGTCCCTGTCTAGTGTACAGTAAGAACCTATCTCCTTGTGATGAGTTCGGTCGTAATGTGCCGCTGGAAACAAAACAAAAAAAAAAAAGAAAGAAAAAAAAAACCTACATTAAAAGAGACCTACATTGTACAAATACGTAGAGGTAAAAACCACAACTCTCCTCTTAAAAGGAATAAGAGTTTATTCTGAAGCTATTTTGAGTGATCATGGCCCTGGAACAATGACTTAGGTTACCCCAAATTTCACGTTGCAACGTGGAAGCAGTTTCACAACGGTTTTATGGTTTTATAGGGCAGAGAAAGTCGTATATCAAGGAAAGTTTAAAGTACTTTGGTGGGTACATCCAAGAAGCAGGTATATCAAGATCGTAGAAGCTCTTCAACAGGTTCAGGGTGTTATCTAATGGCACTTGGCTTTTGGATTGGTAGAAGCTAGTTGCCTGGTAAGTCAGTAGATTCTAAAACGTTGGTTGTGGTTTTTTGTTTCTTTGTTTGTTTTTTATCTATTGTGTCAAGATGTCAGTTCTGACTTAGCCCAAGATAAGGTAATTATTGGCCTCTGGACCCACAAAATTGCAATCTCTCCAGAGTATTGAAATTCTAATCAGACAATCAATCTTTACAGAAACTAGTAACTTTCAGGAATTGCCTTTCATAATCAGACGCAATTTCTTTCCGGAAGTTTTTGTTCACAAATATAATGTCAAAGCTCTCCTAGGCTGGGATAGTGCAGTAATGAATCGGGAGGACAAGCCAGGCTTTCCCATCATCCGAGTGAGATTTGATGGCAGGTGAATAATTAATAAGATTTCAGAAATGGGATAAACAGGGGTTGCACTGAATTTTAATTCCTTTCTTAATACTGAGGAGAGAGAGAGAGAAAGAGAGAGAGAGAGAGAGAGAGAGAGAGAGAGAGAGAGAGTGTCAGAGCCCTAGGACCAAGTTTGGTGAACAAGATTAAGAATTCAAAAATTCCAAGAGAGAAATAGAGCATGTGTACAAAAATGTCCACATTCTGTTTTCAGAACCTGTGGTAGGTACTTTATTATGACAGAAAAATATTGGCTAATTAAATTAAAATCAAGAAATATAAGTGGGGAGGTAATCCTGATTGCCGAGGTGGACTTGATACTCCTAAAGAACCTTCTAGGAACATGGTCCTAAATCAGAGAGGGAGAACAATGAGGACAGAGAGCAAAGCTGCTGCCTCCAGAGAGCCAATGCTGGCAGCCTCTGAAAGGTGGAATGGGTAAACATACTCTTCCCTGAGATTTCAGATGGAACCAGTCCTGCTAGCACTTCAGATTTAGTACTGCAAGACTCATTTAGAATTTACGTTATTCTCAGAAAAGTATGGAAGAAGTTATACTTCAGTTAAGTGTACTCACTTCCTCAACTTTCTTACACCATATGCTATCAGAACAGGCTGCTATCCCCACATTGTCTGGAGCTTACCTTTTAGCATCTGTTTTCTTCCCTGAGTCCTTGATGGGTTTAGCTCCTAGTTGATATTGACTTTCACCAGTGTTCCTCTTCTCTCACTCCTCACTGACTTCAAAGATCACAGAAACTTTTTTCCACATCCTTGGCCTCACAGTTCCTTAAATTATCTTTGCCTGTGATCTTGTCCTCTACTCTACTATGCCAGCATGGCTCATGAGAATATACTGGAACTGTCACTATAACTGTGTCCTCTCCATGAGCTTAACTGTCCCCATTAACCACAAGTCCTAACCTTCTAGTTCACTCTCAGTGTCCTGATTCTCAAAATTTCCATCTCACAGTATCTACAAACCCATAAACCTGCCACGACTGGTCTCTTGCTAGGTTAGGTTTGTGTTCCATTGTTACAGTCACCATTTTACATACACCTTCACTTACAGTATTTATTGGACAGAACAACAAAAAATTCAATTCTCTATAACACTGAATGTGGCTAGAGAAAAATAAAGAATTGGTGATGACTAGTCTTACTGTAAGGGTCCATGATTCTCTGAAGAATAATACCCTGTCTCAAATAGTATGTAAACGCAAAGAGTGTTTTATTCTGCAAAAGTTCA